GGCGCCGCCGGCGCCCTCGGCCGAGCTCGGGCCGGTCACGACGGTCAGTGCCTGGGGTCGCCCTGGGACCTCCGATCACCCCACCTCGGGAACAGCACCCTGGCGAAGGCGCCAGGCTCTCAGCTCGGAGCCCAGGCCACGCAGGCTGGCGGGGATCCTGACGCTGAGAAGAAACAGACGCGGCGGGAGCGTCACAGCAAGTACTTGTGGCGCAGAAAACAGGCCATGGGTTCAACCTGTCGTCTCTATGGGATCAAAATCAGTGGGGGGCGGGAAGTGATGGCACACGGGTGATCTGGGGATGGGAGGCCCATGGGGATTGCAACTGAGCTGGGAAAATGCACAAAATGATGTAAAAACAAACTATTACAAAATTAAAAATTTTTTCCATAACGTTACACATAAAACAAACAAACAAAACAAAACAAAACGAATCACCTGTGGTCTCTAAAGAGCTCCTGAGAGCAAACTGGGGGGGTCCGGGCGGGGGGCAGCCCTGCAGTCTAAAGGAAAACGCGGGACGGAAAACACCGCAACGGGGCCGGCGGCGAACAAACCCTCCACCTCGCCGTCAAACTGCTCGTATGATCACGACTGTCGCTCAGACGTGCTGCTTCCGAGACCCAAACACCCGCTGGCAGGCGGGGCGCGGAGGAAACAGATCCCGCCACCGCGACCTTATTTCCCCCGCTTCAACCACTACGAAAAGCAGCATCTGGCCGCTCAAAGGCTGAGAAGCGCAGGCTGACAAAGGAGCATGTTGAGAAACCCCGCCCGGGGGCCTGGGCTGTCCTGCCGGTCAGCACAGACTCGCCGGAGTCCCGCCGGGGCGGTGTCCGTCCTCCCGCCTCGGAGGTGGCACGTGGGAGTCCCGGGCCGCACGTGGGCGGGCCACACACCGCCAGGGCGCGGCGGGCCTGTCCTGCCCGCGCCCGCTCTGGCCGACAAGCTGCACAGCTGCCCGACGGGATCCTGTGGGTCCTGTTCGGGGATCCATCTTGGGGACAGACTCCCCGACAGGCCGAGCCAGAGCGCAGCAGCTGTCCAGCTGCAGGGCTGACGGGGCTGACGGCCAGGCCAGTGCTTACCGGTGCCCTTCCGAGCCTCCCGGTCAACGTCACAGTGTGACTGCCCCGCCCCGACGAGGACACCGAGGCAGGGAGGCTGCAGCTGTCTGGTGTCAGGTGACGTGCACCCCTGCAGAGCCCCCGGCACCCCGCGGCGCTCAGCAGAGCCCCCCGGCCCCCGGCGCACCCTCGGCGGACACCTGCAGGGCCCCGCCTTGACGAGGGGTGCTGTGCGGTTCGGGGGGGTCACGAGCCAGGGGAGGGCTGGGCTGGGGCCGCGGGCCCCCAAACTGGTGGGGCGGGACGGACCGGCGCCTCACGGCCAGCAAGGGCTGCAGCTGTCTGGTGTCAGGTGACGTGCACCCCTGCAGAGCCCCCGGCACCCCGCGGCGCTCAGCAGAGCCCCCCGGCCCCCGGCGCACCCT